CTCCAGGAGGAAAGAAAAGTGATGCATCTATCTACAGTAGGTTGACCGACATCATATGAAGAGACTGGAGTTTTTCCACCAGTGGTTTGACAGCCCACACAAAGTCATTCACACTTTTAAACGACACAGATACACAAATGCTAAGAACATTCCTTATGGATTGTGGAAGCTGTTTATTGCTGTAAATTACATTCTCATCTCCAGAGCAGAGAAGGGGCACAAATTGCACTTTAGAATGTGTCTCTACATGTTTACACCTGTCAGTACTTCTGTTTTTGGAGCTGGCTGACTCACCTCTTGCAAATATAAGGTATATTCTTTGTGTGAGATCCTGGACAGCTAAAACATATAACTGACACACAACATGAAACCAGGAGGATACACATAAAGGCTATGATGTGGACTATTTTTAAGATAAATGGCAGTTTTACTGGAAATTATGCTGGCCTATTTTATTACCATTACACTTGCCAGGTCAATGCCTGAATCTAGTAGCATAGATAAATACACAATAAACATTATGATGGAAAATGTTGTACAGAAACGGGAAATAATTGGCAAATATTGTCACAGCATTTATGACAAAGTTTGCAATGTGTATTAGCCCCACAGCTATATTTGTAAAAGAACTGCCGGTGCTGTGCACATGCATTTTTATTCCTAATAATGGATTTGCGTTTCACCAGTTGACACTGTTTCTTAAAACTGCCATCCCAGGAGTGTGCATGTAAAGAATACCGATGCACTGCTGTGTAACAATTCATAGAGACATGTCAAAATATACATTTTCTTCCATAATGTCATTTGTGGACTTTTGAACACGATATTGTACTGTTCATTTTTTGTATATATTTTAGTAGGCATAATAATTTAAACCAAACAACATTTGTAAATCCCAGAAGTCGAGTATAGCAAGCTTTATTTATGAACAACTACCTGTTGCAGGGGCACAGAATGATGTGGCCAGGGCTGCCTTCCAACTAATGTCACAGTACATTATACAGCAGTGCTTAGGTTAGAAAGCCTTTGGCAGGTGACCACTTCTCTCCGTCTCATAGTTTAAGACATAATTACCATGTTCAAGACATTAGTTGTTCTGTAATTACCAGCAGCCAGGTTGAAAGAAAAAAAAAAAGACATTCACACTGGATTGCTAGTTGTTACTGAGACTCGGAGATATAAGAAAATGTGTCAAAGTGTCAGCAAACTAGTGGTAAAATGGAAAAGCCACCATCACTTGTAGTTACATCTAGGTTAAATTTTATATTAAACACACACAATCAATTCAGCCAATTTAAAGAGGCCAAAAGCATCTGGCTGCACTTAACAAAATTGCTCCAAATAGAAAGCACAGCGAAATCTCCTATCATGACTATTTAAATGCTGTGACAACAAGGTTGGCAACCATCTTAAAAATTATGTGAACACTGTCAAGTCAGAATAATGGCATGTGAATGCTGCCATTTACAAGAGGGTATTAGAAGAACTGAGTTTTAATGTAAAACTATGGGTTTTTGGTACCAATTTGAAAGATGACTTTATAACCCACAAATAACACACAACAAAGGAAGGGTTATTTAAGGGGTAAAACCAGAGACTTATTAGATGGCATGGATAATTCATTGTCTACATGACAAATTGACCAAACTCTAGACAAATTAGACAAATTTTGCAGTGTCTGCATCTAGTGTAGCTTTAAATGGATGTAAAAACACCTTTGATTTGTATTTTGGTCCCTTTTTTAGTCCATACCTGGGTTCTTGGCAGTCTCATGCTCATTTGCCAGACAGCCGGACGCTGAGGGCAGAGTAGAGTCGATCATCTTCAGGTACTGCTCCCTGGCCAGATTCAGAATGAGCTTCAAATCGTTGATGGGTACTGAAGCCGAGGCTGATGCTTCTTCTTTCTGTCCTGAACACACCAATAGAGGCTGGTTTTCATTTTGATAACATTTTAGATTTAGTTTATGGCTTACCGGCAAATTCACAAGTGGTGGAAGACTGTGGTGTCACTGTATTCTTTTAATTATCTTTAGTTTTATTTTAAAGCTGCAACGGGTAACTACACGTCCATCGTGACACATAAATACATGGAGCTGACAGCTCTAAGGAGCAAAAGTGGGCAAATGAAATGCTAAGTGGGCATAAAGTAAGAATGTGGGGTTGTAGCTTTGTGTAAAAGAACTTTATTCAATGGAAGCTTTGTTACTGTCAGAATATATCTACTATGTCAAATCGCATTTTAGACAAAACATGATTTTTTTTTTTTAAATATCAGGTTCATTACATCAAAGGTTAGTTAACTTGTAACATAGACTAAATCTGTTAGTGTCAGCAAAATCTGCAGAACGACATGGGTGTAATGAAGCAATGAAACCAAAGTCTGTTTGTCACTGGAAATGGCTGAGAGTTCCAAGTAGATATCCACTGAAACAGAAATGTACATCACATGTCATCAGCTTGCAAACTTATCACACATACAGAGACGCAGCATGATGACAGTCTATAAGACGCACCCATGATGGTGCACATATACACATTTCACATAATCAGAAAAACTTCCAGCAATCCTTATAACCTTTGCACCCGAATAAGTCTGATGCATGTGAATCTACAGAGATGAATTTCATTAAGGCCCATGCTCTGCCAGGACTCTTCATTCTTGTCATGGTCATTTCAAAGGACAGGCTTATTGCTTTTATTCCAGGTGTGAGGAATTTCACTCCACTCCCTTTAATCTGGCTCCACTACACTGATATTCCACTATCTTTGCCTGCCAACGGGACATTATATCTTCTTCTTCTTCTTCTTTCGGCTGTTCCTGTTAGGGGTCGCCACAGCGAATCATCTGAAAATTGGCATTAAAAACCCATGTTTTTACGCCGGATGCCCTTCCTGACGCAACCCTCTCTATTTGTCCGGGCTCGGGACGGGCACAGAAGTCACAGGCTTGCAGCCCCTGTGGCTAGATTCAACGGGACATTATATGCTCCTGTAAAATAATGATATGTCAACAGTCTTCCTATGCACCGGCCTGTGCTGAAGGCCGGAGAGAACTGAGTGTTCAAACTGACAACAGATCAGGAAGCTCTCAGTACCCCAGACAGTTGACACATCTCTTCTACCCATTTAGCTCTGTCGCAGTTACAATATTTAAACAAGTGACAGGTGATCTCAATTTAATGTTTTTCCTTTTACAATTGGGAACTACTGAGTTTGCTTTTCCATCGTTCACTTCACTAACATGCAGCTCGGCAGTTCACAGTTGACCTTGCATCCAAAATGCACAAATGCAACCAATACTGTTTTTAAGTGAAAAATACTGTACCATTGTTGTTTCATTTGCCAAAATATATCCCAGATAATAAGCTACCCCACGCTTGTCTTGGTTATTATGATACATTAGCATGCAAGCAATTAATAAAGCCACAATCATAGCTCTACATACAACAAAAAACAAAGGTGATAAACTCTGTGTCATTACTGTGGAATAATGTGCTTCACATATTGTTTCTAATTTTCTTTCCATGTCAGGGGCTCTTTCAGTGTTGTACTTACTGAGATATTCTTTGACTACTAGTGTCTGAACTTTGGTCACTTTCCGCTCTCTTTCCAGCAGGCCGTCTCCTTGGAGACAGGGCAGAGGGTGGAGGATGTCAGCTACGGTTCGTCCTGATCGACAAGAGAGAATGAGTCAGATAAATAAAGGAATGATTAGCTAATTTGTGAACTTCAGTTGTGTACTGTTTGGAGTGGGGTCAGGGGCACCAGTAAGTTTAAAAGTTTGTTTGGTTTACTTCAAATCTTTGACAGAAAATTGGCATTAAAAACCCAGGTCATGAACTCAGAAGGATGAGGGGATTTAACAGGCAGGGGGTCTAATGAGCCTACTGTGCTGTAATAAGAGGGTTGAAGGATTGGGTAAATCTGAAGCCTGGCCTATAATAGAAACTGAAAGGCTGGATATTTTATTCTCAATGTTAACCATTATTTTTTCTAATTCTGTTTCTCATTAAAGGCCCAAACTTGCATTGCTGGTTTGGTTTAACAAAAACTGATATTCTCCTACCTTCTTAAGTCTTGTCCTCCTACTAAATAATTTTCACATTTAAAAATCATTCTATATGCTTCTGCTACACAAAATAATGCATATTTGATACCTACTTGAATGAAATTACACACAACCCATTGACATACGGATCATGTGACGAGGACTTTAAGGGTTATAAAGGTAAAGAGATTGAGAACCACTGGATTAGTAAACAATAACAAGAGCATAAATCTATGGTCACTGCTCCAATGCATAAACACGTGGTTGATGAATTCAATTTATAACCTCCTTGCTTGAAACTCAAGAAGCTGTATGGTAGAACAGGATACATAGGTGCACTGAGTTTGTTTTTTGTTCAGGTGCAACAACCCTCAGCTGTGCATTTTAAGAGTTCAGATTTTTAATAAAAACTCTGCTGTGTCACTGCTGCAGTTGGGGCAGTTTATAGTCTTGCTCCGTATTTCAAATACGTCTCCTGAAGATTGCATAAAACGGTAACTTTTTTTTTTCTCTTGAATATCATATAAAGCCAAAGAACAATGAATGACTTTTAACAAGAAAGAAGCTTTTAGTTCAGAGAACAAAACAAACAGTGTGAGATTTCCACTTCCATCCATCTTATTCACCTGTACAACCAGGAGAGTCCATACAACCCTACAAACACGTTCACCCTCATTCTCCTCATCACCTTTATATCTTCCTTTCCTCTCTGTTAATCAATACATGTGCTCAATATACTCTCTCACCCCTTTCATCTTTAATTGACTGTTCTTAGTTCTGTGACAAAGATTAGGAACAAAGCAGTAAGAACTTTCCAATGCTATGACAGAGGCAGCCAAAGAGACATGTGGCACAAATGAAGAAAAATCTCTGTAGTACGAATGGCCTACAGCGCTGAAGACCATCAGTTTTAGTAACACAGGCTTGCCTGATGAACAACGACAGTCTCTGAACTTCTGTCAATGGAGCCAGACGGGCTTCTACTCCAATTAAGTTGAGGGGTGAGAGAGTCAGGATGCTTGAAGGGCTTTTCTTTACAATATGGCACAGAACTGTTGTTAGAAGTTTCCAAACCTCCACGTGTTGATAAACTACTCAAGAGTTTTAAATTGGATACAGTACAAGTGAGGGTTCCAAACTGAGAGGCATGGAGGGTGGCACGTAAGGATACTACACAAGGTGAAAGGGACAGGTACATGACAGTGATGCAAAAACAACAGGAAGTGATTTACTGTAGTGAGGACAGCTCACCAGCACGGTCAGCAGCTGTTTCTGCAGCAGAGGCTGAGACACACAGCAGCTTATGTAGGTGATAAAAACATTAGCACCAAAATCTGTATTCTTTCTTTGAGTCTTAACCTTGAGTCAGACCTGAAGACACAGACAATAGTACATGTATATTTAGATTCAGTATAACGTACTGTACACTTTCAGACAATATCACTATCTATGATGCCCATTAACTATATATTGTGGTTTCAATAAATCTGCATAGGAGGCATAGAAAAAATGACACTTGTTATAACTCCAGAACTCAAATCCTGAAGTTTTCTTCAGTGCCAAGTAACTGAGTGATAGTTGGGTGTACATTCATGGGTACACTGCAAACAGGAAAGGCTTCGAGTTCATTCAGCCTGCTTTCATGGTGCCAGATTGCAAAAATGTAAACAAGTATAGACAAAAACACGAGCAAAGTTGTCTCCATTTTGTTTGCGGCACCAAAACATTCAGCGACAAAAACACAAAGACCTCTACAAACATAACAACATAATATACCTGATAGCAAAGACTTCTCTTTCAGCAACCCAGAGACGGTTGCCATGGCAGCTGCTCCATTAATTTGACTGTACGAGTGCAACATCCTGACCCTGCAGGCACCACAGCCGACGCTGTCCGAGCCCTGGACCAACAGGAAGTACTGAGTGCTTTCACCTTTCACCTCAACATCAGGCGCTAAAGGGTGCAGACAGAAGGAGAGAGATTACATCCAGAGTTTATCCACAACAGAGGAATGTTGTACTAACTGGTCTTGGGGCTTAAAGTAAGAAAAACTTCTATGCCTGAAATGTGGGGGTTGTGGGAAAGAATGGATGAAAAAATAAAGAAATTAATAAATTAAAAATGAACTGTTGCATAAGAGCATCTGCTGCTCTGTAGTTTTTATCCTAGTTTGTCCTCATCTGTGCTTCTTTCATGCCATACAGCTCTATGTATTACACTCAGTCAAAAGGTTGGTTAAGTGTATTATATACCTAGCCCCCAAGTGATTCAGACACACAAGTCTCCTAGACAAAACAAAGGCTTTATCATCTATACCAGTGCAGCCCTAGTAACCAGTTTAATTCCCCCAGAGAGGACAATATGGCTCCATTTAACAAAGTAATGAAAAGGACTTGGAAAAAAAAGATATCATCTTACTGGGTAAGGACTTTGGTCTCCTGGCCATATACTCTCTCCAGCGCTGAGCACTGAGTTGGCTGGCTGCTGGCTGGGCGATCGGGGTGATCATACAGGACAAGCTGAACAATGCTCCAATCTGGAGACAGTAAACAAAAGTCACTAAACACAAAAAATGCACAACAAATCTTACATGTTATCTGCTATGTCCTACATACAGTACATTTGACTGAGCACTAAAGAAAAGGAGAAATCTGAGTTTGAATACAAATAACTTACTTGTTTGCACAATTTGAAATTACATCTTTCTATACAGCAGACATTTGTACGTAGAGTATAAGGGGTGATACCTTTCCACGCAGTGACCTCAGCTGGTTCAACAGCAGTTTAGCTTTCACTGACCTCCCAGACAGGCCCCTGTTTGTTAGTTGTGAAGGATCAGTACAAAATTAAGGAGCAGGAGCAACTACCCACTTTTTGAGACAATGCCTAGGGCACATTAAAATACCAGTCTATAAAATATATATTAAGAGTCAGAGCTGTTACATTTTATTACTATGATGATGGCATTAATGTACTTTAATCTGAGCATCCGTTTCACGCTAGTAGGTTCATTTAAAAGTGGACAGATGTAGAAATGATGTTACTTTAGTTCTCCTTTTAAACATGCACAGCCTTCAAAATGAGGATACAGTTCGAACTGGGTGCTGGACATCAGAAAGCTGGGTAGGTCTGACAGATTAACCAGCTGAACCAAGTCTAACACTGGTGCGTAGTAATGAAAGACCTGCAAACACAGAACAGACACAGAGAGGATGAAAGACAGAATGAAATAAGAAAAAACAAACAAACACAGAGGTGAAGAGGAACAAAAAACACTCGGTTATCTTACAGAAAAGATTTTTTTTTAAATCGCAGTGGCTTGTGAAGCAGCAGGTTCAGGGTTTGGAGAGCATCCAAAGAAGTGTACACTCTAGGACTTGAAACTTAAAGCTTAGGAACTGCCATGGGACTTTGTGGTCTTGACTCAAGACCTAGATGGGACTTGCATAACACTGGCTTTGTACACCTCTGCCAGAAACCATTAAAAGAATGGACTGTATGCAACTTCTTAGCTAGGAAATGAGATGTGGCTTGAAGCTGGGGTTAAAGGAACAGTTTGCTAAATATGGACACAGGCATATTTTCACTCCAGTTTTCTTTCAAACTGCAGAAATCAACAACCTCACACGCATTACATTGCCCTGAACATGATTTCCTCACTGACAACATTTGGCTCAAGTGCAGGCCCTACAGCACTCTGGCAGTAGACCTGGACTTGCTTCGCTGGAGCAACTTCTGGCATGCTGGACAACAAAAGTTTGTCAGAGAGGAAGAAACAAGAAATAATGAGGCAAATAATTTCCTAAAAGGCCATACAATTGGTTGGCAAAAATAAAAACGCATGAATTTTGCTACCTGAAGTGTTTGAAGAAATTCAATAAGACACAGCCATGACAGTCTTGTTTCAGACAAAAAAAGCACAGTGAACCCAATGTTCGGCTGAATAAATAACCAAAATGGCAATTCAGTCTAATTTTCAAGTCAGCTATGACAGACTCAAGCATTAATTATTCCCTAAAATTAAGATGGGGAATTAAAGAAGCTAGAGAAGTAGTGAATAAAACAGGACTCACCTCAGCCTGTAGTCTGTGGTCCGTAGTGGTGTGGGGAGCTTGCAAGAGACTGGCCCCTGACATGTGGTGAACTGGAGAGCGCAGAGAAAAGCCATCGAAACGGAGCTCGGACACAAACTGCAGCAAACACACAGACGAGGTCATATAACAGTAAGTTCAACATACGTTCCCTCAGTCAATATTAGCTGGAAATAATCACAGATATACAGATGGTGCGATCTCATCATTGAGATTGCTTTGACGCTACAGCGCATAATGCAGCTATCAGGTAATGGTTCTCACATGAACTGGGCAGTCAGTGGTACGTGTACACACACAAACACACTTATTGTTTGTTATGCTATGTATCACATCAAGCTGTAAAGTGGTGGTGGTTGCTCTTAGACAGGCTTTTGTCCCTTTGAGAATTCTCCTTTGTTCCACTGCTTTAACATGGAACAAAGCTGAAGCGTTTACTGACTGAGGAGCCCGCTCACTTCTGAAGGCAGCAACTTAGAAAAGGTCACTTTAGTCAAGGAGACACTGTGTGCTTGCCTCAGCACACTCAAAGCTCAGCAGAAAGAGCAAAGAAACCTTTGTCAAGCATGCAATAGCACAATCGGTCAACTGGGATATGATTTCAATTGTGGAGCTTATAGTGTGACTGACACTAGAATTTGATATTAATATGCGAAAGGTTTGAAAATGTGGTGCTGATACATCAATCTATGTTTGTTTTAATGCACATTTTTAATAAGGATCACTTAAATATGTTTAAATTAGTTGGAACTGTAGCTGGAATGTGAACTGATTGGCCATTTTACAATAGAAAAATAACAAAGACACAGTTTCAAAAGCACCTCTAACATATCTGTGCTATTTCTGGTCTGCAACTTCCTTCTTCTTATCAACAGACATAAAACACGGATAATAAACCGCTATCAGCAAATACAGTATGTGACCTCTCTTGTTCGGATATTTAACCTGGTGTAACTAGTACTAATGCAACTACTTAGGTCATAATGAACAGGAGTGTTGCAATATAACGGTTTTGACAATAACCATGATTTTTAAAACACGAAATACTAACATCATGTTAATAATACACATATGATAATATTCCAGAGATAATCCAGAGATAGTAACTATCTGGTTGACACTCTAAGGTGGCCGTACTGCACCTTAACGCTGGCTGCCACCCAATAATACACATATGATAATATTGTAAACAATCCAGACATAGTAACTATCTGGTTGACACTCTTAAGGTGGCTGTACCGCACCTTAACGCCAAAAAGAAGACCATCACGCTGTAACTAGCTAGGTAGCTACTACCCTACCAGACAGACAGCATACACAATAAAGTTAAGCATGATTATTATTTATTTTTTCAATTTTTTTTAATATCATTATGGTGAACTTTTTTGCCAAAATAATCACGTTGTGACAAATGTACAAAATTGAATATTAACAAAAACATGTGCAGTTCAATGTGCTATACAAGTGTCAACGGTCTCCAAAAAGACATTCTGCATGTTCAGACCACGGAGGAGCTCTCGTCAGCTAAAGGTCTCAGACAGTGGCTGCTGGACCAAAGAGACTGCACTCTCTCCACAGAGGGAGTGGGACATCAGTTAACATCAGTTTGGCTTTTTGGTCATGATATTACCTTTGTATTGAAATATTCTTTTTATTTTGGAGTAATTCAAGCTTTGCATTACATTAATAACCACAGCGTTGTACTGGATTGCCAAATTTACTCGTTAGACAGATAACGCCACCTTTGTTCTAAAGGCTGCATTTTGTACATTTGCCAGGTGTGATTGTTGCTAGGAAACAGGACATGATGGGAGGAGCATGGTGAATGATTAGGTCGGGTCACTTTTTTTTTTGTTTTAATTAAATATTACATTTTACAGTTTTGAAACTAGTACAATCAATGCCAAGGTGCACTGAAGCTGTTCTGGAGGTGCGGCACAGCACCTTACTAAGACACTTTATGTTGGTTTTTCCTTTCAGTTATCACCCATTTGTAACTCAAATGTACATTTTCTTATGCAAGCTGATCAGCGATTAAAATCTCAGCCTAATTAATGAACACCAAGAGTATGAGACATGAAAGGAAACCGCAGCGAAACAGATTGCTGACTCTCCCTCAAGGACCATGGATGCAAGGCACAAAAAAATCATCCAAAAAAAGCTCCTGCCAGTTTTCCTGCAATGAGAAATAAGTACAAGCGGGCATGAAGTATTCTCCAGGGTATCTCAGCCTATTCACTTCAACACCAAAATGCAGGTACTATCATCTGACCACTGCTCACAGTAGCTGCTACCCAGAGTTGAGGATTTGTACATGGCCATTTCAGATTCCAGGTCCACAGCCTCCCATGGGATGCAAAACATAAAGCCATTATTTATATCTAAATGTACTTTTACACTTTTATACAAATCCTATAAAAGTAAAGAACAGCACTGTACCTGCATGTCAATAATATCAGCAGTGTCCTTTAAATACAGACTAAAACCGCCTGGAGGCATTCTCTAACACTTGTCCTTTACTGAAGACACGACCACCATCATTTGCAGCCGACTCTTCAGAGAACAAGGTCGAGCCAGAGCAGGGCTGGCAGGGTGCTTATCACCTTATCCCCCCACTGAGTCAAAAATTCAACCAATTTAAAAAGAAAATATGTTAAAATTTACCATCTGGCCTTGTATGCGCTGCATGAGTAATGTTCTATGAAAAGCCATAAGAACAAATACAGATGTATGGATCTGGTCTATGATTAGCATAAAAGGTACAAAAGGTTCTTAAGGAAAACACTATTTTTCTGCCTTTTCTCACCGAGTCCAGCTACAGAGAATGACGTTCATAATAAGAAGCCCTGGGCAAGCAAGCCGGTAAGTTCAAAAGGACAGCTTTTTCTCATGCCCTCTACAGTACTTGTCCAGAATGCACACGCAGAGAAACACACACAAACTAAGGGTTAAGACGAGACAAAAGTTCTTTCTCTCAACACACAACTTCCCCCTTCATCACTGCTTTCAAATGATCAATCACACCTACAACAGAGGACTTGAGAAGTTCAGCCCTGTCTTAGCTTTCTTGTCAGTGACAAACAGCTTCATCATACTGATGAGGGATGCTCACACAGAGACACACAACATTCATGAAAAAGCCCTAGACTTCCTGTCCTTAAGATAACCAGGGCTCTTTGGGCCCCAGGCTCCTGTGTCATAAAGCCCCTTGCTGCTGTGTCTGTGATTACAGTTTCTTTAAACTAAAACTGTTGGGCTGTTCTTATGCTCTGTAGGTTCAAATGAGTTTCCTTGTTTTCGCCAACTTCTCCTATATTTTGCAATCCTAAATAAGGAAGAAAAATGTGAAATAAATTATGCAAAAGATAATATTATCCTTAAAGTTTCTTCCACAAACACTCTCCATTTTTAGAGATCTTTACCTTCTTCTCTCTGACAACCAGGCTGCCCCTCCATAGTTCCTTGTTGTCTAAACAGCTATCCAGCTCAGCGGGATCTACCAGGCCTGCACTCAGGTGGGCTGCTGCTTTCTGCCACCTAGGTTAAAAAATAAATTAATAAAAATAATAATAAATCATTCACTGACCAGCACAACAGAACTTTATTACTGATTCCTGTAAAATTAAACAAAAGCCCTATTTCATGTTAACTTCTTATTTGGACAGGTGAAGCAGCAGTTAAGGGCTTCAAGGAGTTAATTCTGCAGACATGTTGCAGACTGCTCATTCATTAAGTCAACTCCTGCTCATGTTTACTCATCTAACTCCCCCTAGTGGTGAATTCCTCATCACCCATTCATCTGTGGCACATCCAACATGAACTAATGAACACACTGTATCTACATTTACATTCTAAACTTACCATATGACCTGGTTATGTAAAGTGCCCCGAGACAGTTGTTGTGAATTGGCTTTATAAATCAAACTGAATATGTACGCCATTAATTCAGCGACAGTGTTTTTATAAATTAGATTATCCTGAAAGTTGTCTTCATATTTTTTGTTGAGCAATCAGAGAAAGTGTAATGAATATGAATGTTTCGCCTCCTCACCCAGTGGCATGGTGTGTGACTACAGTGATTTTAGCAGCATGCCAGCAGGACATGTGTTTGAGGGCTCCCAGCAGAGGCAGAAGGTCTTTAACAGGAGGGGACTGCTCAGCAGAGGCCAACAGCAGCACATCCAACAGAGCTTTACCTGAGGGGAGAAAAAAGGACAAACCAAAGAGGAATTCAGACTTTCTTCTTTAACATACATGTCTCTATAGGGTTTCATGAAGGCTTGGTGACCTAAGTTAGTCCCTCCAGCATAACCATCTTTTGAACAAGTAGGATGAGTTGCCTGGTCATTGTTCTAAATATCAGGATCTGTGGGGGAGCAGCTGGAAGCAGCAGTGACTCCAGCTCTTCATGGCTTCTTACACTGTAGGGTGACTACTTCTGAACTCTTGGGGAGGTGGTGTGTGCTAAGAAGAAATCAGAGCAGAAGTATCCTAGCTTCCCAGCGGTGAGTGCATATACAGGGTGGGTGAAATGTAACTAGGCATTAAAAATTGGTAATAAAGTCCATATTTTTACTACAAATTTACGGAAACAAATTGTACACGTATTTTAAATTACATGGGAAAATGAAAGCAAATCTCTAAATTTCAACATAGGCACCAGTGGTATCAACCGGTTTCCTACAAGTTCTATAGTCAATTTTTAATGCCTAGTTACTTTTCACCCACCCAGTATATGAAGTACAGCAGACCACCACCTTCGTTTGCTTTGCAAAGCTGTGAAGTTTGGCTTTTTAAGTCCTCACTACTGGCAGCTATTGGCCAAGACAAAACTCCCAGTTGAGACACTGTCTTGTGTCAGTAAACTAACTGTTAGACAACAAACTAAACAACTGTTCTCCTCATTAACACAAAATGGAGGAAACTCATGAGTTGTGTTGCACAGCCAAAATCATCTGAGAAACAATGTGTGGAAGCATTCTGGAAATGAAAGAAAACTATGTCTGAATTAATCTGAATACAACAACCCTACACAGCACACAGTTAACATCAGCATGACTAGGTACAGTACTGTTTATGAAGAACTCTGAAACTGTTCACTGTACCTGGTGGTGGCAGCTTGTCTGACAATAGATGTAGTCCGTCTGCAGCCTCCTCTAAGAACCTGTTCAATATAGACAATCAGATCAGGTCAGAACTTGCTGGCTCACTGTTTCTTAAGGACACATGATATCTCCGTAATATCTTTATTCCCCATTTATTTTTACAACAGCACAGCGTCTCTGATTTAATATGCTCATTCTTAAATAAAAGTCATTTAAAACATTTTTTAAAAGCTATGAGAATAGGTTTTTTATCCAGTAAGTCAAAGATTAGTTAGAAGAGCAAAGACAGCACTATTTCCATTTAAATCTAATCACAGCCCACATAAATGTATCTGGCACAATTCTTCAACAGCAAATAAGGTCACTTATTTACATAAAGTGCAGAAAATCTCATCTGTCACTCACTCTGTCAGTGCTGGCTGCTCAGCCTTTTGGTCCGGTGCCTCCTGATTACTCAGAGAGCTGAGATAAGACTCCAAAGCAGTCGGCTTCTCCTCCTCACTGTCAGTCTTCAGATGGCCTGTGCCCAACTCTTCCCAGTCTGAGCTGCAGAACTACAAAACAAGAGGCAGACATTTAGAGGTAGAGGTAAAAGGCATTTATCCACATTCACGGACATTGCATTATGAGCTATTAGTTGCTGTACAGAAAATTAGTCACCAATCCTCCAACTGTCTTACTTGTGTCATCCCATGGCAAGCCTGAACAGAAAAGTACCACCTCTGAACTGATGGACTGCCATTCAAAGAACAAGCTTAAAAAAAAAAAAAACACACACAGACATACAGAAATAAGTTAAGGAAGATTTTCTTGTGATGGAAATCAGGCAGGAAAATCCCCACAGTGCAAAAGTTACTGTACCTGGAAATACAGAAATCCCTCTTGCTGATTCCTGATTTGAAGCGTCCACAAGTCTGTTATAAATCTTCTTCACTGGTTCCAGACCTGGAACAGTGACAAGTGCTGTCAGGCTTTATCATACAGACTGCTGTGGCTTTCTCACAAACCAGACAAGAATATAAACGTGTAAATCGCACTCAACGTGTACGGGTTATGGTTAGCATGGCAGATCTCAGGAGTAAAGCACTGTATGCTTCTTGTAAATTACCCTGTCAGATAGCAACATTTAATACCAGTTGCTCTCAAGCCGTCTTTTTTACCGCAGAGGTTATGAATAGGTTAACGTTAAGTTAACTGTCATATGTCCAATGTTTACAAGTAGGGATGCACCAATATCACTTTTTCCAGACCAAGTACTTACATTTGAGTACTCACCCATACCAAGTGCCTAATGATGCAGTGTTTCTATTATAAACACTACAATGACCATAAACGTGCAGTGACTTTAGAGACAGTTTAATTTCATGAGATTTACTTTCTGATAGTGATTAAATAGAATATCCTATGTAACAGGAGGCTGTGTAAATGACCTGAAAACCTCCTGTTCATGCTGTAATACAGTGGATTTTAACCTCTGTAGGAGTGCGACCCTCTGTTAGGATGTAGTGATTTCACAACCCCCGAGACCAGAACATCGCAGTCGATAAGTTAAATGTTTAATTTAACGACGGTACGTGTTCTTACTTTAAAAAGGCTGCTGTCTGTGGCTTCATCCTGTCCTCTCTGAAGGACACACACCTCTTCTGCTGTGGAGGAGCTGCTGGTCTCAGTCTCCACAAGGATTCAACCCATGTTCATACACAGAGCTCATGTGGCATTAACCACATAGTGTGTTTATCACACACACGTGACTGAGCTTGCAGTCAGCTTAACTTTTGTTTTCCTCACTTAACTTAAAGTATAGTCGAACCGCAGAAATGTCTTCTGTGCCGCCTAACGATCCGCTTAGCCAACGTGTGTTAATATAATGTAATATAATGCTATTAACTGGTATCGGTGGAGAAACCACAAGTACCAGTATAGTACTAGAGGGTGGTATCGGACCCGGTACTGGTATCGTCATAGGTGCATCCCTAAGCTTAACTACAAGTGACTCCATTGTGCCTTTCTAAGCCGCTAGCTAGCGTTTACCAAACTTGGTTGAAGTTAGCAGCGTTGACTAGCAGAGTAATTGAGTGTTTTCTGTATCAGATGGAAATGCAAACTTACATGTACAATTTTCTGCCAAGTCGTCATCAGTTTTGCAAAAGGATACAACTAACACGTAGCGGTCCATGTTGTATGAACATGAATAAATTCCCGATTAATGTATGGAGAGAATTTTCGGTCAATTGTGACCAACAGTCCTTCCTGTCAAATTTCCCACCAGTTCTTCTTCTTCTTCCATAGTGTCTTACGACAGTGGCATCCTAGTGTTGCACTACTGCCACCTTGTGTCCGTAGACTGCATCGCCGTCCATTATCATAATCAGAAGAAGAGTTGAATTTACAAGGAATTTGACTCCTGTGCAGAAGCTCTCAGTGGGTTTGGAAAGCAACAGGGAATAGATCATAACAATGAAAATAAAAACATACAATAAACATACAAAATAAACAATTTGTGCATTCAAATAGAAAATATGTGCACCTTTTATCTCCTCTCTTCCATCCGTCTCTGTTGTCTGAACCCATCACTTTTCCCTCCTTTTGTTTCACAAAGTATCAGTATTGATATTGGTGATAACAGCCTGGATTTTACTTGGTATCAGATCAGAAAGGAAATAAGTGGTATCACACATCATTACTGATGAGAGGAAGAAGAAAAAATAGTGTTCATTAAATCTAAGACAAAAGGGGAAGTTCAGGCTAAAGGTAGACTCTGTAGTCTCAAGCTTTTTTATGATTGATTTTGGACCCAGTCATCTTATTATTCAAATAGCATTGCAAGGTAAGCTAAGTCTAATGATGAGGAGCCTAGTATATGGGACATATGGTCCAGTACAAAGATAAGTTTTAGGTGGGAATAGTTAGCCAGATTATTCTACTGATATAACCATTTACAAGCTGTGTACGCTCACACTGATAGTTTTTACAATTGAGTGCCAAACATTGTTTTCTTCTGTTCCATTTGGAATTCACTTTCTCAACAGAAAGGCACCTTGGCTTCTATACTCTGATGATGTTTACTGTCTTATTTTAGTGTGTTGCATGCTAACATTTTGCTAAGGAGCACAATATAAAAACTCCAACTGAGGCTGAAGGGAATGTCACTTTCCTTTGTAGGTATTTGCTCATAAGAAAAAAAAAAGCTCAAATTTGACCAAATAAATAAAAGTTGGGTTGATACTACTATACTGAGGATTACAAAACTAGGTCTCTAAGATCAGTGGAGAGGAGATTGTTGGCCGTTCCTCAATCCAGACTTAAAACAAGAGCCGACTGTGTCTTTGAAGTTGTGGCTGTGAAACTCTGGAACTCTCTTCTAATGAATTTAAGATCAGTGGACTTTTTTTTAAGGGCACATTTTTAAAATGGTTTTTGAGTAGTGATTTTTGTAATTATTTGTGCATTCTCATGTTGTTTTTGTGAAAATATTGCTCCTGTATTTTATAGGATACCGCCTATAGTTTTATTATTATTAGTCCTTACTTAAAACAGCTAACATGACACCTCGGTCGAGGAGTTTGCATTTGACAATACTCCTAGTTTTCCCATTACTGGCATCCAGGCCTCCCTCTGGAAGATACGAAGTCAGATCAGTGTCTCATCTTTAGTGAGACAGAAATACTGCTGCTCATATTACTACTTGTTGATGATTAGTCTCACTAGTGCAGAATTTTTCCTTCTCCTGTAACAGGAGTGCACACAGTTATGATGTCTATTGGTAAAAGAAAAAGAACAGTCATGTCTTAAGATCTTTATATTCATCTCATTTCCATCCATCCAGCCATCCATTTTCCTCCGCTTATCCGGAACCGGGTCACGGGGGCAGCAGTCTAAGCAAAGATGCTCAGAGTTCCCTCTCTCCAGACACTTCCTCCAGCTCCTCCGGAGGAATGCCAAGACGTTCCCAGGCCAGCCAAGAGACATAGTCCCTCCAGCGTGTCCTGGGTCTTCCCCGGGACCTCCCCCCAGTGGGACATGCCCAGAACACATCCCTAGGAAGGCGCCCAGGAGGCATCCGAAACAGATGCCCGAGCCACCTCAGCTGGCGCCTCTCGATGTGGAGGAGCAGCGGTTCTACTCTGAGCTCCTCCCGGGTGACCGAGCTCCTCACCCTATCTCTAAGGGTGCGCCCGGCCACCCTGCAGAGGA